ATGATTTACACAGTCAGGGAAATCGAGTCAGGTTAGTGTGACAATTTCCTAATAGAGCTTAGCAACAAAACAACTGAAAACTTACTAAGATTCTCTAATTGCGCATGCACACACACACAGACGTTGATATAGAGATAGAGACAGAGACATATAAAGAGATAGAAAGAGAAGAGAGATAGAGATATATATACACAAAGGTACCTGTTAAAAATTCCCCTTGAGTCCAGTGAAATACTCATGTTGAATGCTTTTGCATTTCTCAACGGGCTAGGGTTGAGCCTCAAGGAATAGGGGTTTCAGCCCAGGTCCTGTGCTGGTCTTCGGCAACAGTCCTCCAAACTTATCATGAACTTAAGAGTTCACAAGCTCTGAGAGGCGTCCCACTCAGAGGGAGATGCTGGTCGCAGCCCACTGCGGTCCAGGAGAGTTCAAACGGTCTCACTTGGGACCACTATTTATAGGATTGGGAGATGATTGACTTTAGGCATCAGTGAATTTCCATCCTGACCACAGTCCAGACAGGTGATTTCTCAAGTCTCCAGTAGCACTAGTACCGGTCATTCCAGGATTGTCAGGAGATAATTAGTCCTGTTCTCATTCCTCACCCTGGTTAGGCAACCAGGTTCCTGATACAATCAGTGCCATTCTCCACCTCAGCTACACAAGAGTGCTTGATATGGTCAAGGGGCTTTCAACCACCAAACGCTTTGTTCAAAGGCTGAGGCTTGCCAGGCAACTGAATTTCTCAGGTTGTACAGCGGCCCAGGTATAAGGTGAGGAGAGGGGGGGAAATGCACCACCACAAGTGGGTAAGTCAATAATGTTTGGAGTATACTTTGAGATCTCTGTTAATTCTGCATTTTACTGAGGGAAAGACCTGTTTATTTCTCAGTCTTGTAGATCCACAGTCAAAAGAGACTATCATGAAAGTGAACATTCTTATTGGCGCCTTTGCAATAGGCTAATAGGAATTGGCATTTATCGCCTTTCCCATCAAATCAAACAAGAGGGAAATTAAGTATTACTAATAAATGATCGAGCAGACAGGACCTAATGCTTTTGTCAGCAGACAATGGCTGATGTACACCATAGTTTTAGTCATTCCAGAAGCAATAAATACTCCAGCTGAAGGACTCTGCAGTTTCTACACCATGGAAAATCTGTCCCATTCCGGGCCATTTCTAATGGTATCCAGTGGATTAGTGGGAGTCTATGGACTAGAAAACAGTCTTGTTTTGCTGCAGATGGACAGCACTCTTTGGCTCCTTCGCTAAATATTCTGCACTGGGTGATCTTATAGACTTCACTGCCTGATTTCTTTTGGGCTACATGGAAGGGATGTACATGAGGAACTACATACGGAAAGCATCAATCCCAAGTTCAGTCTTTTTATTCAAGAGCAATGCACAGCATCTCTACTGCCTAAATATATTTAACCACTTACAGGAGCATCTTATTGCAGAGCACTCTTAAAAAAAACACAATTCCTTTTTCTCCGCCTTCTTTGGAGTGTACAGTCGAACTTGCTTCTATTTGCCAATAACCTTTCTGCCCTGTGTATATGATAGTGATCAAAGAGGCCAGTAGTCCTGCTGTGAGAGGCAACCCTGAAAAACATCTCATAACACACAGTATTAGATCTCATTAGTGCAAAAGGCTCTTGTGCTGTCACTATGACTCACATCAGGCAGGAAAAACACTCCATGGGCAAGAACTTCATCTGGAGGTTAACCATGTTTTCATGATTCCATCTACAATAAATTGATTGGTTTTCAATAGTGTGAGGCATCAGCAATTTCCTGAAGCTGTTCTGTGGCCATAAAACTTCTAGAGCAAATAGACATAGAAAGAAAAGGGGAAGGAAGAAGATACCAACTTATTTACACTTCTCTGTCCTGCTAATTAGAGCAGGTCACATCTTCAAAACCCATTGCAGAGATGAATAGCCATTCACCTTATTCTGTTTCAAAATCCTCCATGCTGCACTGTGCCCACCATGCTGCAGCCTGTGCTCTACAAACTCTGACAGTACCTCTGAACAGCCCAATCTGCTATGGACCAGTGCCTCCCTCCAATAAAGTTGCAAATAGGTTTAAATCATTAGATTCAGGTTATCAAAAAGTCTCTTGGATCAGGGTTAATTAAATGAGAGTTGAAATCTAATTAAAGACTGGTCCAGGTGATAATTATCAGGAAATGTATGCATTAAAATATTGATTTGTTGATGAGCTGCAATTAAGAGTGTGATTTGAGGAAGGATCAATAACTACATCATGTCATTTAAAAAAAAAAGTCACCCAGCCTTGAGCAGAAATGCAGGGAAATTTTGGCTAGATTTCCCCCCCCCCCTTTCTCTTTTCCTCATAGAAGAATTTCTGAAAACTGCTCTCCACCCTTGAATAGAGCATTCATCTCTCCATCCTTCTATTTTCTTGAAGCACTTTTTTCAACCTCTTGCTTTACACTACATTGTTTGAGTGCGTTATAGATTTATTAGAGAGAGGCTAACAGGTCAAAACCAAAGATTCTTTGCCAATGAAAATCAATTTCTCCCAGAACAGGTGGTCTCAATCATTCACCCTCCAGGGTCCTTTACTTTCTTCCTCATGCTCTCAGTGTCTTGCAAAGGTCCAATTTAAAAGGCCCGAGAGGTTGCATGGAAAAAAAATCAGCGTCAGCTAAAGCCCATGCTACCAAATCTGTGTTAGATGTATGGATTGCATGAGCCAATGTATATCGGGTTAATTCCCTTGTGTGTCTCCTTTGGTTTCCTGTCCTGCAGGGAGCCTCTTCAAGCCTGGTGGTGAAGTTTGCAGATACAGACAAGGAGCGTACAATGAGACGCATGCAGCAAATGGCAGGACAAATGGGAATGTTCAACCCCATGGCCATCCAGTTTGGAGCTTATGGCGCCTATGCACAGGCAGTAAGTATAGACAATGGCTCTATGCATGTACACGGGAACAAGTATAGTGCCTAGAACTGCACAAAAGAAAAACTGAGCAGAGAAACAACTGAGCAGAGGAGGAACCCGCTCTTTCGATAGGAGCAAACCGAGCCATGGCATAGGATAGGAGAGGGCATCTCCCAGGCAAGCCTCAGAGGTGTAATACCCACTTCTAGCAGTAACCAAACTGTGATCATGTATGCACCCTGATCCTTTTGGCCAGGTCCCTGGTGCCCCGTGCATCATTGTGGGTGCCTTAGGAGTGGTCACTGGATAAAATAGCAGCAGTTGACAGAAATACTTTTAGGTTGGTGAAACCATGCTACATAATACTAAAATGGATAAGCAGACATACAGGCATACATTCCTGTCTCCGCAAAACAATATGTTTTAAGAACAGTGGGAGAACACATCAGTTACAGTGACTGTACAATGAGCTGGGTTCCTGACGAAGACGTGAAATGGATGCCTCTGTCATAAGTACATTTCCTTATGCTACAATTATCAAGGACCATCAAGGAAAGATCGGGTTCAGGTAACTTGGTCTCTCTACAAGATATTTCAGCGAAGGTAGAGGTGATCCCTGCAGTAGGCAGACATAATACTGCTAGGTGACTTTGGCTGCATTTTCTGGAGAAGATTTAACAGGAACATTTGCAAGCAGTGAGAGTGCATCTAGGTGCTTCATACATTGGGTGACCCTCTTGTACTCTGTGCTGGATTTGTATGCAGGAAGGAAGTACCAGTAATCCCATTTTCCAGAGTAGCATCTTCTGAATGAGAGAGAGACCAAATGACTTGCCTTAGGTAATATAGGAATGACACTTCACTGTACCCATATTCCCTCCACTACATTGGCTGCAAAGCTCCGCTTTATTCCCTGCCTATTTCCTTCTCACGCTTTGGCACCATGCACTTCCCTATCACATCCACATGTTCTTTCTTTTAACTTGATATCCTACAAATTTCTGTCCTCCACTAAATGTCATGTGCCTCACTAAACATTTGGTAAAACCTAGCGTCCCCATTTTATGGGCCATGTAGAGTCACAAGGATGTGCTGTAGACCTGCACAGAAATTCCCTTTCTCTGATATACATCCCCCATTGCTATCTTGGACTTTTAAAAATTCTCTTCAGCTAGACAAATTCCATTTTTCCTTCCATTCTGCCTTCTTCATTTTTATTCACAAAGACAATCTTTGCCTCTTCCTTTGTCCCCTGCTCCCTTCCTCACACAATAGAAGAGCTGTCCCATCCCCAGCCTGGCTCTGTTTAACTGTTCTCCTGACTGGGAAGGCTGCAGGAAGGGGAAAAGAGACAGTAAATCACAGCTAAGCCCGGGCCAGTAGCCAGAAACCCAGCAGGGGGATACAGCATCTGTGCCCTCATGTACCTGAGGAATTAACAGGAGGCAATCCATGGCACCTTGCCTCTGGTGGGGTCACTGCCTCACTTTCTACAGCTTTATTAACTGGGATCATACACTGGATCTCTTTCAAAGTGAAAGTAGAGTAGATGTGACATTTGTTTTCAAGGGGAGCTGGGGAAGGAATGGTGGTGAGTTTTATTGGGAATGCTCCAGATGTTTTATAAGAGAGACTGGTGACCCTTACAGGACTTGCTCTCCTTTTGTAAATTTCCCTGGAGCCACTGTGGGACAAAGAGAGAGAGTTGGGGTTGTTCAGCCTGGAGAAGAGAAGGCTCTGGGGAGACCTTATTGCAGCCTGCCAGTACTTAAAGGGGGCCTATGAGAAAGATGGGGACAGACTTTTTAGCAGGGCCTGTAGCGATAGGACAAGGGGCAATGGTTTTAAACTAAAAGAGGGCAGATTTAGACTAGACATAAGGAAGAAATTTTTCACAATGAAGGTGGTGAAACACTGGCACAGGTTGCCCAGAGAGGTGGTAGATGCCCCATTTTGGGAACCATTCCAGGTCAGGTTGGACGGGGCTCTGAGCAACCTGATCTACTTGAAGATGTCCCTGCTTATTGCAGGGGGGTTGGACTAGATGACCTTAAAAGGTCTCTTCCAACCCAAACTATTCTATCATTCTATGAAAGGCGGTAGGTCTATGCTGTCAGCTTCTTTCAAAATGACTGAGTTTCCGTCCTTGCAAACCCATGATGCTGCTGCACTTGGCCTGGCTGTGACCATCAGTCTCTGGGCTACGAAGGACCTTTATCCTCTTTCCTATTAACTTTTACCCCTGAGCACCTCCTACCAGAGAGAGAGGGCAAGAACAAGAAATGTGACTGCAGAAGGGTGGCAGGAGTGTTGTCAATGGTTGAGATGTCCAGACATGGTTGGTTTCCTTCTCTACCCAAGAAAGCAAAGCCAGTTAGCTGGGGTACATGGCTGTGTTCAGGTATGCGACGCTATATTCCTTCTGGCTCTGGAAGAGATCCAGCTTACCCCACAGGCTGGCTCTCAAGGCTGCAGCAAGGTGTACATCCTCTGGGTCATGAGGCACAGGGCTCCAGCTCATTTCTCCGTGACAAGGGCGGGTTCCAGATCTCCAAGACATCTTGTGTATCCCAGAGCACTGAGCATAACAGAAATGGTGTGGAGCTCCCTGCAGGATGTTTGCTGTAGCAGAAGAAACTGAAGCTAATTTCCCAAATCACAGGTTTCCTGGTTTGCAAATCAGGATGAGTGGCTACCATTGTTGGGGGAACACCTTAGATACATAAATAAACAGGAGAAGAAGTTGTATAAGCCATAAATAACGTCACAATTGATTGCCTAGCTCTGCTGAGTGCAAAATAGACATTATCTTTGGAGCAGCAAAATCATTTGTACTACCACTGGCAACATGGCAGCACAGGTGAAACGCAATCAAAAAAAAGATTAACACTTTTATTTTAAATGGTTGGGAACAAAGGTCCAAAAATAGTCGCCAAGAGCCAGGTAAGGGGTTGGAATTATTTCATCTGACTGACTTTGTTGGTATGTGCAGCTGAACAGATCACCTGGTGCTCCACATACATTCAATACAGAGAAACAGAACTGCAATTCATGTGTTCAGAGGCATTCTGGTAGAGAAGGGTGAAATGAATCTTGGCTTACACTCTTCTGCCGGTGATCATGTCAACCATAATAGGTGACCAGCTTAGATGAAAGCCTGTATGTATTTAGTTTACTGAACCTGACAACGGGAAATGCGAAAAACATAGCCCCCTGCCTGTTCTAGAAGGTGTCTGGTACAAATACCAGACTGTTATTTGCCAGCCCAACAGACCACTGCACACACATGACCATCCATACCTGACTCCTTGTTTTTACGTGGTTCTGTTTATGCAGGTCTTGTCATCTTTGTAGAAAAGTCAGCAAGGGCCAGACTGGGACTATCCCCTATCCTTGCTACTGCGTCCATCTCGCAGAGATGCTCCTTTTAGCAACAGGTTTTAGCAGTGCTAAACAGATGTTATAGGCACTGATGGCCATAATTTCTGCAACCGAACAGTTTTATCCTCAGCTCTTCCCAGATGAAAATAGCCAGAACACAAAATGAGATATGGGTCACCACACTGAGCGCTGCACTCAGTTCTGCATTAAAGATGAATGGATTCCCCTTTCCTCATTCACTTCATTTACATACTTACCAAAATCACATGCTCAGTGCCTCCTCTGGAGAATAAACTCAAATGATGCCTAGAAAAAAATGTACACTTTAAAGGAGACTCAGCATTGTGCTATAATAGAAAAGATTGTCTAATCACTCTATCAGTAATTACAAAGAACAGGATATCACTTCTTAAAATATGCAAGTGTCTTAGGCAGGGTATAATAAAAAAAGGTAATTAACAATCAAAGGGAAAGCTACCTCCTTACCAACAATGTGCATTAGGCTACAAAACAATAGTACACAGCTCTAGTACAGCATTTTTCATCTGTAGATCTGAAGGCACTCCTACGTGGGGAGGCAGGTATCCTGTTTCCCATTTTATCACTGGAGAAACCAAGGCAAGTTTACACAACTTGTGCATGGTTATACAGCAGGTCAGTGGCAGAGCATCCTTTACTTTGGTCTCTTCAAAGATGGTGACAAGCGTTTGAATGAGCAGCATTTTAAGAAATTGTTTTAGTGTGTATGTCTACAAACAGCAAATTTAGCCAATATTTCAATATTAAAGCAAACAGTGGGATCAGTCTCATCTTTGCCATGACTTTTGAGGTGTGTTTAATGCTGAGAAGTGTGTGTCATGCCCTTAAAGAACAGCATCAGAGGGTGATTTCCTTATGGGACAGAGATCACAGAGAGCAGCAAAACAGAGATTTTCTAATTCTGGAGACAGCACAGACAGACATGAGTCACTTAAATCACTACAGAAAAAAAGTTTCTTTCTCCACTATTATCAAGAAGTCACATATTACTAGATACTGGGGAATGAATAGAGTGAGTTTTCACTCTCTTCTCATCTTCTTTCCTCCCATTTTCTCAAAGCATACGCCACCGGTCACTAGCAGTGGTTGGATATGAACTTAGACTTACTTTATCTGTCTCTTTGTACAGCTCCAGGGAAGGAGATAAGAGGCAACTTCATCCAAGGTGCCTTCTCCTTCACACCAGGAGCATTTTTCAAGCATGGGCTGCAACAATGGTGTGCTAAGTTCAGAGTGTAAAATAATGACAGCAAAGTGTGATGATAGCAAAGCCTGGTTTTAATGTAATAAGCATTTCCAAAATGCCTAACTCTCACCACTATTCTGCTCCAAAATTTTTACTGCCAAGTGACTAAAAATTTAGCCTGGGGGTTCACATTTTTGCCTTATGTAGGTGTTTTAAAAGCAGCAGCACTTTGATCACTTTCTAACAAAAAATAAAATTAAGGAAGTCATCCCAGATCAAAATCACAGGGAAAAGTTTTTTTCCTATGACACAGTATTAATCTGGCTAAAGGGGCAGGGGGGCTCACTTCTCTTGTATAGCTCTTCCAGGAGTATCTGCTTGGTTGTTTTGGAAATACCTTCTGTAATCTGGTTAGAAGTTTTGGTCACGGTTTTGCTCAGTGCCCACCAGAGGAGCAGCATAAGAAAACCTGATTTTTGTCAGTGACAGATGGAAACAAATCACGTTATCCCCAGAGAACTATCTAAGCTTGCTGCTCTGGACACAGGATGTCCTCTTTCCACCACTCCACATACACTGCTCTCCCATCAGCAGCCAGCAGTACTTTCCCAGAGCTTTGATACAACAGACCTAAGCCATGAAATGTCTCTGCTCAGGAACATATAAAGTCTTTTCTCTGCCTTTCTCATCAGTGAAGGGCTAGGGAGTCATAGAGTTAAGTCGATGTCATGGGAGACCTCCTCATTGTGGAACACATTGTGGGGCTGTGGGACTATAAAGATGCCAGACGCCTCCAAACGCCTATAGCTAGACAGGCCAAGGCTGAGGCTACAACAGGCATGGTGAGCTGACATATCAAAACAGAGGGATGCCTCTTCGCACCCTCACCGTCTCCCCATCCTGACTCTGGTGCTGCGGGCTGCCCTGCCGGTGACTGCATGATATTTTTTCCTTACTCTCTTTGTTCCAGCTGATGCAGCAGCAAGCTGCGATCATGGCGTCGGTGGCACAGGGCGGCTACCTGAATCCCATGGCAGCGTTTGCTGCAGCCCAGATGCAGCAGATGGCGGCTCTGAACATGAACGGCCTGGCAGCTGCTCCCATGACACCAACCTCAGGTAATGGGCTGGGGGGGAGGGTGAAGGGCAGGAAAATCTGGCCACATTCCAGAGGAGACCTGGCAGGACATATTAGGTGACATGTTCTCCCCCAGTGGGTGTTTACTGAAATGTTGGTCTTGATAAAGGCCACCAAAACTGAGGACTTGAGCCAACCAGGTCCTTTTGCCATCTGGGAGAGAGGGGGAAGGGGCAGGGAAAGGCTGTTATCACCTCTGCCAGGGCTGGGCCCAGCTAGGGGTTATCATCTGTATCAGGAAATAGTTGTATGGGCAAAGCCAAAGAGCTGTTCAAAGTGTTTGTCGCTGGTGAGCGAGGAGATCAAGAGGGCTGAGACACACCAAAGAAGGGATGCAATGGGCTTGTTGGAGAGGAGGGAGGGTGCCGGCAAGGAAGGCACTGGAAAAAGCTCTCAGTCATGACTACTCCCTCTCAACCTTATCCCTTACACAAGTTTACCTTAGCTCTGATCCGAAAACAAGCAAAATAAGGTTTGTGGTGAGATTCAATATCATAAATGAGATGAGCTATGCCTTAGTGACGTATAAGCCTTTCGCCTCCCGTGAAATAGGACAGGAGGTACTCAGGGAAGACTTCTGGTGCTAAGTGGAATCCAACTATTTGCTTGAGAAGGTTTCTGGCTGCTGGAGCAGAGACAGATAGCCAGTGAAGGCTTAAGCTGTGACGGGACACAAGAATCACATTATTCAGTGGGCAGATAATTAAGCTGGGGTGAAACAAGACTGGCTTTTCCGGGGCTGGAAGGAAGAAGAAATCATTTGGCAGAAACATGTTAAGGAATTAACAGGCCTGGTAGTCTTGCAGTGGCATGTGGTCTAACACGGGGAAGCAGGGGAGCAGGAAAAGCGGGGCCAAAAGAAGTGAGAATTTGTAGAGCTTTGCAATAAGGCACTGACTGATGGGGAGCAGAGGACTCGAGGCTGCATCTCCAGAGCACAACTTATAAGGGACAGCTTGGGATAGAAGGGTCCCGGGGTGATGTTGGGTGTTCCTATGAGAGGCAGTGGGGATGGGATTGTATTCAGAAATACATGCCATACCAAAGCACCCTGAAGCATCAACCTGGCCCGGAGGGGACTACCTTTACAAGGTTTTGGGTTGAGATGTGGGGGATCAGCTGGCCATTGTGCAGATGGAGCAGGATCTGGGAGTCCAGAGCAGTAAAAGAGGAAAGGGACAACTTTGTTGTCGAACATGGAGATATCTGCACCAGCCCTGGAGCAGGAAAGGGCCATCTGACAAAACAGCCAGGAAAGATGATTCATGGCTGAGGAACACTGGATCGCAGGGAGATAAGACACCACAGCAGTGTAAACTTGTAGGCTGTTCCTAATGAAATCAGTTCTACTAAACTATCTGCCTAAGAAAACCTTCCCTTTCACACACCTTAGCTTTTCTTTGCAATCTGTAGCTGGGAACAATGTCAGCAGCTACTGGATCAGTTACCCATCATTTCCTTTGCTTGTATTGAAATATGAGGGGCAAAAAGGGAGAGACAGACAGACAGATTTTATTCCACACAAATTTATGTAGCACCAAGGAAAAACACTTCACTCAAAAAACTCTTTTGCATCTAAATAAGTATTGAGAAAGAGTGAGTTCTAAATATCAGTACAACAGCCAAATTCTGATCATAGCATGATATTCAGCACATGAAAAATATCCCAGCCCTTCTTTGGTGTAACTTCTGCTCCTTTTCTTATATGCCCGGTGCCTTTTGGGAGTGCTATACTCTTACTGTCAGAATACAAGAGAGGAAAGCTCAAGGGGTTTTTTACATGCTTTCCAGAGCACACATGAGTGGTCATTATTGAAAATAAGATGCTGGTTTAGAAGAGCCCTTGATCTATTTCATAGTAGCATATTTTGCACTCTCCTTATGACATATTTTCCTTCATGGATCCTCTGAACTTTTGCATTATTACAGCTTTACCTTTTATGTGTAGTTTCCTTCATGAAAAACCTTGTAATGGCTTGTGGAAAACCCATTGACAGTTATTCCTTGGGTGAAATGTTTACACTTAGAAATGACTCCTTGTATTAGTACAACACTCACAAAGCTTGTGATAAGACAAAGAGAAAACATTTCACATAACATCTGAGCAAGCAAGCCTAGATCAATAGCAGTGATTTCTGAGTAGCCAGGAGATAGCTGAAGCCTAACGTGAATTCTCCTGCTGGCTTTTGTTAGCATTCAGAAAGGCAAATGGAAAATGATCATTCTGCTTCATAGGAGGATTTCCAGTCTTTGAAGTATTTATTTGTTCTGACTTGGAATGAAAATGAAATATTTCAAACTTCCCTGAAAAACGGGCATTAAAAAAATTGTTTGTAACATTAAAAAAAAGAAGTCTCATTCTTTCCTAAGCAAAAGAAAAATGCTAGGAAAAGGACACTGGTAACCCAGAAGTCCTACAGGCTTTGGACGTATTGGTTGAGCACAATGCCTCTCTGCTGGTATCTTCAAGCATCCTAATCCAGACACTTTTCTCTTCATCCCGTCTCTCAGAGAGTAGGTTCCTAGAGACATGGCCATGAGTTCATTCAGGCTCATGAGGCCCATGTGACCTACAAACTTAAAGAGTTTTGGATGCAGGCAAATCTAGCAGACTAAAGACTGGATCCATTCTACCTGGCTTTAACCACACAGAAGTTACACATCTAATTTAAAGTAGTCACCTGGCTTCCTTGTGGTCAATGAAATGCAGTAGGCCATCCCAGTGGTTAATTGAGACCATAAAAAATTGATGCTGGTTGCTGGCATTTTGACCGTTTCCCACCAAGAGTCATGTTTGTCACAGACTACAGTCTGTAACTGCAAGGGAATTACATTGACATGTGTGAAACTTTGCTGCAAGTTTTGCCTTTCTCCTAGCGTTGGCATAATCTGAGTGAAAAGTGGATGTGCAGTTAGTCTGCCACTCTGTTAACTACACAGGAAGGCTAGAAGTAAAATTTAATTTAGGCTTCCTTCCTGCCTTCTCTTCTCCCTCTATCCCTCCATGTTGTATATATGTACCTGGTGTTGCTGCAGCAAGAGATGTCAAAGCAGGGATGAAATTCACAACTGGGATGCACCATGAATTGTTTTGTGTGGTGACATTATGGCACTTTTACTCAAAATACAGATCTGACCTCTCCAGGAGAGTTCTTTATAAGAAGTACAATAAAGAATTGCAATGAATATGCTTAAATTCCTTAGAAATGCATGAAATAGCAAGCAGAAATCCTGTGCTGAAGTTTTAGAAAAATTATTTATATTCTCTAGGAAAATAAAGCAGAGATCCAGAAAAGCAACAGAAATTTTAACTAGTCTTTGTGATTTGCAAGCTGATGGTATATGCTAAGAATATTGCCTTTATACTTCAGTTGCCATGACATGCTGCCAGTACTTCCGTAGAGGACATCTTTTTAAAGGCCAACACAATTTAAATAAGCAAAAGGGAAACAGAAGCTTGTATGCTCAAGCTATAAAAAAATAAGCCGATCTATTGCCTGCTTTTTGACCACTCAAACCAGAATATTTGAAAATATGTCATGCATTTGTATTGGCTTTCTTAAAGCACCAACAGAGACTGAAGCAGTTGTTAAAGAGTGTTATTGGACTAACACATAGTGGAATGGTGGTATATTAAAGAAAGTTTCTGCAATTGGTTTAATAAAGAGGTTACTGCAAAAATTGTCCTTTCATTTAGTAGTATACCCTCAGACAGAAAGATATTGCTCAAGATAAGATAGTTTAACTTCCCACTTAAGCTGCCAAGACAAAAATACAATTTCATACTTATTGAAAAGTCATTTTTTGTTCCGCCCAAAAATTGTTAATATGTTGCAAGAAGCACAGACTTCCCAGGAATTTTTAAGCATACATAGGAGAAGACAATGAGGTAGCAGAGGGACTTAAGTCTCACCTCAGAAATTTAAGAATTCTCTAGTAGCGAGTGATATGATCGCACTCAAAACATAAAGACTAAGCTGTTCTCCTGAAATAGTAGCATTAAAGTCTCCCAGAAGGTGCATCTGGGAAGAATGACAGGAGAACAATTCCATGAAAAAAACCACATCTAGCCCAAATTTTGCCCCTGCTGACTGGGATATCTCTGCTCAACCTCTATGAAGTTTGGGATTAACAGTGACACTAAAACAAGAAAAACTATCCCTGTCTGCTTTCAGGCTACAAATCAACTTGCCAAACCTTTTAAGGATCCCTGGTGCTGAGAAAGTTCAGAATGAGTTTGTACATGTAATATATATTCATGAGGGAGTGCAGACAGAGTAGTCCTGGAAATTGGTACACCCACAAAGCTGGCATCTCCAAAGAGAAACTGAGAGGAACTGCTGTAGAAAAGTGGGACTGAGAATTTGCTTCTGGTGCTGAATGATATCTAGGAAAGAAATGTCTGCCTATTTAGAAATTTAAAAAGATAACACTCCAGGGAGAAAGTTGAGGAGGAAGGGTGATATTTCTATAGTTTTCTATTGGCTGATGTTAGCCCTGTATCTAGTCTAGAGACCATGATCGCCGAGCAAAAGCGTCATTCTGTTGAACACATTTTGCAAACCTTTCTTAAGATCTTTCTAACCACAGGTGCGATGGCAAGCACTCCTGACATTTTTTGCCTGACAGCTAGAGAGCTTTCTCATTTCTTGGATTATAAGAAGCTTTCTGTGTGTTTGTCAAAGCTGTTCTATCAGTAGTTTTCTCATTGTAGTTTTTGCTTCCAGTACTCACCAGCTCTGATTTTATTTCCTCATCATTTGCAGGTGGAAGCACACCTCCTGGCATAACTGCACCAGCTGTGCCTAGCATCCCATCTCCAATTGGGGTGAATGGTTTCACTGGCCTCCCGCCACAGGCTAATGGGCAGCCCGCCGCAGAAGCTGTCTTTGCTAATGGCATCCACCCTTACCCAGGTAAGCAAGACCAATGCCGTGTCCACAGTCTTAATGAGCTTGTCCACATCCATGAGTTTTGTCTAGCATGAGCCACCTCAGAAGCATTATACATCACACCATTAAGGTTCAGTCTAGCATTAGTGTAGTTAGGTCTTACCCAGTTACAAATATGCAATTAAATCTGAATGATAGACATCAAAGGCATGTTCAGGGGTGGAAAATTTTTATGCTAAAGAATTGAGTGCTCATCTGCTGGATGATTTGTTTGGTAAATACAATCACAACACCCAGCATGCTTTGATTTAGTTAAAATTTGATCTGAAGCCTGACCAGTTCATGCAGGCAGAGCTCCTAGGGGTAGTCCCAAGGCTCTTGCTCCTGGCTAGCCTTTAAGGAGCTGTACTAAACCTGTTTGCATCTTCTAGCACCCACCGTTGCTATCTCCTGCTGCAATTCCTTTGTAACCAGATGACACTGAGAGGACAAACCCAGAGCGTCCACATGACTGCTGAGCCAAAGTGCTCCATGCCTCAGATTATGTGCTCAAGCAGTGGGCGCTGGTCATCAAAAAGCTTACTGCATCAAAATCCTGTTGCCTTAGCAGGCCTGGAGACTGAAGCCGCATTAATATAGCGACAAAATGGTAAAGCTGAGCAGTTTTGTGGCACATCACCAGAGAACTGCTGCTGGGATTCATAATCTGTGAATAGCTCAAAAGATGCCAGCACTGAAGAGGTGATTTTGCAAGCCCTAGCAGTCAGGAATGAATGAGGGAAGTTAAAGGAGCCATACTGACTTGTACTTAAAAACATATGGACGCTCTGACATTGTAATCACCAAGAAATCGGGACTTTACAAGCAGTAATCTAGTATTTTAGGAAATCAAACACTGACTCAGATGCTCCAGCCAAAAAGCACACAAAACCCCTCAGAAAATAATTCTTTCCATCTCAGCTAGTCCTGGAAAATTTAAAAGATGGATCACCACAGGATACTTTATGACCTACAAGGAAAAATATCAGATAAAGCAGAAAAGTCTTACCTAGTTACAGCTCAGAAAATATCACAAAAAAACCTCTGACCTGTGAGTGTAGAAAAGGAAATCGCAGAAATATCAACAGTATTGAAAAAATAATTTTAATTTCCCACTTCTTGACTTTGTAAATATTTCTCCATGATTTCAAATTTAAGCAGAATTGAAATCAAGGTGTACTGTGCTAAAATGTAGGCATGCATATACATGTTTGTAGCAGCTTAGAGGGATGGGGAGCTCTTGGAGGCTTATAGAGACATCAGAAGCTTAGACGGAGCCTTTAGTGCTCTCACTGAGCTCAACCACGGCAGCAAGGAAGAGCTCTGTCTTTAAGGTTATATAATTATAGCCATCTGTTCAGCTACCCATCTGAGTCTCTACCTGTTTGCCAGTCTACCATCTCTCTATTTATCAATTTCTATGTGTAGCTGTTTTCTCTTTTATCTTTAGCCTTTTAGCTAATCTTCTATGATCTCTTACTGCATATATCAGAGAAATATGATCTTTCTAGATGATTTTTAATGACTTGAGATTTTGTTACTATCTCCAACTCCTCCCATAATTAAAGCAAGCTTTCAGTTAGGCATTTAATCCATGATTATATAAAAGTCATTGACCATTGTCTCTGAGTTTTGGAGAGCCTTGCTCAGATAGCAATTCACAGTACGATCCTGCACAAAACCAACAGCCTAATACACTGAAGGGTGACAGTCATCTTTTCTCCCCTTCGCTGCAGGCAGACATGCTCCTTTCTGCCTTTAAAGCTGATATGCAAATAATCTGCTTTGTGTAAAATTTGGATTTATGTCAATGTGTCTTCAGCAATATTTTGGTGTTTCCTGGTGCTCAGCTTCCCCATAACTTAATGACATCTTTAGTTATAGCAGAGGTGTAAAGGGAACAGTGGTAGGCCAAACCCTCAGCTTTCATTTTACTTCAGCTTATGCCCACCAGCAAGGAAACCCTGAAAGCAAGTTCCTTTGTAGCAGTTTGGGTGTAGGATACATCCTGTGTTTGCTCCGTCTTATTCTCTTCCTTCACATGAGCATTTATGCCCTCTGCGAAACCTTTCTCCTTTCCACAGGCTTTATTGAGGCTTGGAGCTTAGCAACATTAAAAAAAAAAAGCATTTGACATTTATGTGGGTAATGAGAATATCCACAGTCACATTAGACTGGATAAAAATGTAGAAAGGACACAAACATTTATTGTTTATGATATAAGCCAGCCACGACCTGCTTTTTCGTCACTGGGCAGCTTATTCTGTCATTGTTCATTATAGAATTTTTCACACTTTCCTCTGTAACATGTTACTGGTGCTGACCTGTGGTTTTCCAGGTCTGTGTTTATAAATGCAAAGGGGGAAATAAAATACTAAAAAACTGAGCATGCAATTGCACTAACATTTTAGAGAATAAAAGAACATGCCAGTTGCCATCCAAAGTCAGCATCTTCCAAAAAACTCTTTTATGTTATATCTCTCATTCTGAAAGTGGGCAAGAGTGCTGCAGTATTATGTACATGGTCTTGCTATGGTTATGACTTGCCATATATTGTTTAAAGCCTGAATTTTGCTCTCAGATACACTTTCACGGTACACAAAAAAGTCAAATGTGGGTTCACAGAAGTATATCCTGTAGCAGAATGTTCTTTGTTGCCTGAAAATAGAAAAACAGGATAATCAAATCTCACAGGGTGACAGCTGGGGGACAGGGGCCTTCTGGCCATCATGGGGGGGCCTCTATGCAGTGCTCTCCATAGGATGAGCGAGCTGCTCCTCTTCTAGGACCTGCAAGCCCCTGGGTTTTTCTGTCCCACACCACATATTGATGAGGGGAAAAAGGGAGAGTGCTGTCATGCTTTAATCCCTTAATTCCTTCTCTCTCCACAGCACAGAGCCCCACAGCAGCTGATCCCTTGCAGCAAGCCTACGCTGGAGTACAGCAGTATGCAGGTCGTTAGTATTAACACTTTCTCCAAATAAATCTTTCTCTTCTATAAAGCTTTTAATGTCTGAACACACCTGAGGGGCCCTGGGGAAGACAGGTGTTTGCAAATACAGATGCGAGCTGGGGGCCACAGACTCCCAGATTAAATTTGCTCTTATGAAAACAAACATAAAGCCCGGGGACTTCT